CAGCACATATATTTCCACCTTTACATGAGGAATGAGACTATAATATAGTAGGAATATAATTCATAATCTTACTCATCAACTCTTAGGTTCATATGATTGATCATCTAGCCTTAGCCTCTTAAGCAGCTGGGACCACAGGCATGCTCCATGCTCCTCCTGGGCAATCTAATGCTAAGTAACAAAGAATTCAAAAGCCCAGAAGCCTATGCTCTTAAGGGTGGTTCTCAGACTTTCTAATTCCATTGCACCTTAGTTTGCCCACTCATTAAGGATGCTGTCACCTGATCCAGTTGAATGAACCAAGCTTCCATCATGACTGTAACTTCACTAGGGGCAGATATTGTCATATTGGTGTTGGCTGAACCCTCCATACAGAGTACCTCCAAAGGCCCTAAGAGGCTAAAACGTGTGGGCCTTTCCAGACTAACATATCAGTTTGTCTGTCCATACGTGTACTTGCTAGTCACCATGTGCATGTGTCTCCTCATTCAGCCCAAACCTTGTTATCCTTGTATCGGATCCTACCTAGAAGACAGGTTGTGGGGATGAGGGGGAGGATCTGTTTATCACCTTCACTGGCTTCTGACTGCAGGGAGCTTTTAGTTGCATCAGAGAAGTTTGCAATGACGACTTGTCTCTGCTGGAGGGATGCTTAGTGGCAGCACCACTGTCTAGGCAGTTGTGTTGAGAAGGACCAGTGCAGCTGCAAAGGTGATTTACTGTACTGTTCTAGCACAGGAGGCCAGTCTCCCTGACATGGTGGTACCTAAATCCACCCATATAAGAATATTTTGGATGTTTCCAGAAATAACAGTGATCAATGAGGGACCCATGAGCCAGCTAAATACAAAGATAACTCTTGTAGGAGACTGTATTTATACTGAGTGATGTTCACAGAAAGCTGAAAATAAGGAGGACACCTACATTAGGAGGTATGGAAAGATGTTACTGGCAGGAGGACACCATCTTCTCAGAACTAGGGTCATGAGGGCAGAATGGTGCCCCACTTTCCTGGTAGGGAGTGGAAAGGGAAGCAGGAAGGGTCTGATAGTCTCCTTCTGTAGCATGCTGAGAGAGACAAACCTGTCTTCTCCAGTTCATCCTGGAGAGGGACAAAAGAGAACAGGGGTTGACTGGCCCTCAGCCCCAAGTGGTAGGTCCTTGAGACTGTACACTGGGAAATTAATTCTGAGAAAGAGTAGGTCCATAAACACTGATGTGGTGAGGGAATGTGGCTTCCTTCCGGTGGGGAACAAGTCCGGTGCCTCACCTAAAGGTTCAGGCCGGAGAGACTGGATTCCTGAAGGGAGTGCAATTACTGTGGTGAAAAGCAAGCTTCCTCTTCCCACCTCCAACAGAGGAACTAGAAAACGCATGTCAGCATGGGTAGGGACAGCCCAAGAGCACATCGCTGCAGGCCTCAACCAGTTCCGGTATAGCTCCAGCTGTGCACACAGATTTGGGAGCTGAACAGTTATATCTCCAGAGTGGACACTCAACCCCAAGAGACAATATTGTAGCCTATGGCAGGGCAGCCACTCGGCACTGAGGTCCCATGGTGTGGAGTTCTCACTAGCAGATGATGAGGGGTTATGAAGCTGTGTTAAAGAGATTGGACAGCTCTACTCCACTCTTTCTGGCCCTAGACCACACAAACACACACACACACACACACACACACACACAATATATAATGTTGGTTAATATTTTTGGAGCAATAGGAAAAAGAGCTGAACGTTGGAACAATCATGACAAAGTGGGACAGCTACTTTCCTCCTGTGGGTGTCTGCTAGTCACACAGATGGTTCTGGAGCCCCTATAAATATGAAGCTCCTTTAGGGTACCTTAGAGATCTTAATGCTATGTATCATCAGACCATCAAAAAGGACAGGATTTGTGTTGCATTTGCCAAAGCTTCTTTATTGAATAATTTAGATCATTAACAAAGATAAATAAGATCCATTTTGTTCTTTAATATAATACATATATATGACTTAAAGTACACCTTCTTAAGGCAAAGAAATACAACCAAATGTTCCTACTACACTTAGAAATAAAAAGTATACATGACATGTGAAGTTACCACACCATTCACTTCAGTTCTGATCTGCGTGAATGAACCTCTTCAGGACACACAGACTTTGTCAGCAAGGGTGACAGCCACATGCACACATGTCTAGCTTCTCCACTCAGGGTTAGGTGTCTGCTATTGTTTTGAACGGGTAGTCCAAATGGAGCAAGAAGACATGTGGAGGACTTCTAATTTGAGAAACTGCAGACTTCAAGCTGCACAGACATGATCTGCATCTAGAAGCCAGCACTGAATGTGTCACTTATCTACTTTCCTGTGGCACTGGAGACACTTTGTCATTTGGAAAATAAATTTTCATCTCAAAAGGTCACGGAGGAGTTAATGTGCAGTTCAGTGGTACAGCATGTGCCTAGCATGTGAAAGGTCCTGGGGTTCATTTCTAGCATGAAAGAGGGAGAGAGGGAGGGAGGGAGGGAGGGAGGGAGGGAAAGGCAGGCAGACAGGCTGGCTGGCTCTTAGACAAATATCATAATGAAAAAGAGCGACTTAATCCTAACTAAAGAAAAGGAGAAATAAGTGAAGAAAAAAATTAAAAAGCAAACACAGTATCTGAGCTCTGGAGACACTGAACAGTGAGCTTCAGCCAGTGAGGCCCACAGGGATGGCAGAGCCTAGCCTAACCACTGCAGCCCACAGGCCCCTGCCTGCCTCCCCCTCTTGCTTCTGCTTTTATAAATAAATTTCCCAAATGAGCTGGCCCCCAGCCCAAACTAAACAAGCACATGTATGCACATTGGCACCCCATTGCCCTGGTGAGGGAATAATGGGGATCAGTAGGGTACAGGGGGAGGAGAAGGAATGAATTAAGAGCATAGTTTTCATTTCCTTAATATAAAATCCATATTTGGATTCCAAAGCAAGAAGAAAATTGACAATGTTAATTTCCATAATCACTCACATGTTCTTCAGAACATCAAAGTATACATGCCTATTTACATTCTTAAAGAAACAAAATAAATTAATATCACTTGGACAAAAAGCCACCACAAATAAACTAATGGGTCTCGGTGCATATGTGTTACCTAATTTAACCTGCAAAGCTTTGCCCTAAGCTATCTCAGCGAAGAATTTCTTCCAAAGGTTTTTATGGAGCAAATGGAGGCACAAGCCCTCTCCTACTTGTTCTTAAATATCAGCTGATTTTGGGTAAGTGTTGATGTCTTCCAAATTCCGAATATGGACTCACTTCAAAGTTATTTGTAGGCTGTCTCTCTCTGAACAGCAGGAAACGCCCGCTGCTGCCTTGTGACCCCATGTGCTCAAGAAAACAGCTTCTCCAAGCATCAGAGGGAGGTGAGCGAAGCCCTCCTGTTCATGAAGAGGATGGGAGACAGCCCCCTCAAAATCCTGATAGCCTCTTGGAAAAGTTGATGGAGAGCCAGACTCTACTTCTGAGTCCACACTGACATCTGGCTTGAGTCCCCAGCTTTGCGAAGCCTTTCCCACCACAGCTGACATCTAACCAGTTACAGGCTCTTACTGGAGCAGCCTCGTGTGGGTGTGGGTCAAGGGGACAGGCAAAGCCAGACTCACCATCTCCTGCACCACTCTAACTCAGTCTGTAATCATCAACTTGGTGACTGAACTTGGCTATAGAATGCTGCTGTTGTCATGGGACTACCCACCTTCCTATCCAAATGGCCAAGCCTAACTGCACATCCAAAAAGCCCCTCTCGGCAGCCTCCTTTCTAAACCTGAAAAACAAAAGCTAAAGAAATCATACCCATTAATTGTGGGGTCATTATGTAGATTCAGGTGGCCAGAAAATCATGCCTGCATGTGACCTAAGCTGTCCCTTTCACATGTGGCAGGACCAAGTATTTGCCAAGATGAGTTCGTACAAAAGCTGATGTCTTGCAGAAGATCTCTGTCCTCAGCTGGAGGAGAGTCCCATGCCTAGAACTGAAAATGCCCTTCCATTCAGGCTTTCCAACCAGACCCTTGTGTCCCATTTAGCATTTGAGTGAATGCCAGCCTGCTGTGGTCAAGGAGGATTAATGAATGCACTGGCTTGTATTTTTTCCACACTCAGTGGACAGTATCAGCTAAGCACAGCACAGTAATAGAACATTGATGTCAGAGCTCCCCCAACCTGTCCGTGTGTGTGTGTGTGTGTGTGTGTGTGTGTGTGTGTTTTCTTTTTAAAAAGAAGAGAAGAAGCAGAAGAAAAGGAGGGAGGGAGGGAGGGAGGAAGGAAGGAAAGAAGGAAGGAG